GTGCGCAGGACAGGCCCACTCCCGCACGGAGCGTGCGCGGCTCCCTGAGGAGGGTGCGCAGGACAGGCCTACTTCTGCACAGAGTGGGGAGCAGCAGGCCTCGAGGAAAGGCAAGCAGCACTCCAGGCAGAGTAACGGGGAGCAGCCCGGCTACCGAGGTGTCCAGGTGCTTCAGATCAGGACAGGCCTACACAGCTGAAGTGGCCAGCAGGCCTGGCCCGGGCCCTGGGCTGGGTCACAGGCACATCACGTGATCTGAGGCCTCCGGACACCAGGGTGAGAAGGGACTGGTAACCTGACAACCAGACTGCACACGCCACAGGAGGGCTCAAGTGTGAGTCGTTGGTACTGGAGAGGAAAGGGTGCGGAAGGGCTCCTACCATGATGTAGAAGGTGGTAACCACGTTGAGGGAGGAAGCAAATATGGAACTCATGGTCTTTACTGATGGCTCGTCCAGGCTGTCATAGGTGGGCAGGACCTGGCTGTGTAGAAACAAGCAATTCACAAAGAAGGCTCTGGAGAGCCTCGCTTCCCCCACGTACCGCTCCAAGGCCTCCTCCCCAGTCCCGCTGACCACGCATGACTCCCAGAGCCACGGCCACACTTTGGGGCACTACAAACGGCAGCAGTGCCAGAGGACCCCAGCGAGCCACGTGGGCATTCTACAGAGGCCACATGTGCCACAGGAGTGGGAGCATGGGAGCGTGGGGGGGGGCTCCGAGAAGGGAAGCAGCCGTGTTTACAGGGAGCACCGCTGTCAAGCGGACAGTTAAACAAACACCAGCCTGGCTGGCTGCAGCACTGCGGTCCTCAGCACAGGCGGCGGTGGGCAGACAGGGAGACCGCCCAGGCACAGGTCCCAACTTTCAGCCTCTCGCCTGTGTGATGAGAATCCTGGCTTCTGTCCCAGGCCCAGAGCCAGAGCTGCAGTGCTGCGGGCGGCCGGGAGCGGCCGGAGCCACGGCTGAGCAGCGGTGTGACAGGCTCACATGGGCATTTGGAGGATGGCACATCTCAGGACACAGGCAACAGGCCCAACTGAGGGACGCAGGCAGGACCTGGGCAACTCTGAGGGGCGGGGGGCCAAAACATAAGTGGGGGGGGCAGGGAGAAAGGGAAGAGAAAGCATGTGGGGCAGCCCGGCCACGGACACCGGTTGAAGAAGTTGGCTAGAGAGGGAGAGAATCCAGCAGCCTCCTAGCCTGCCCTAGATTGCTGTGGCCTTCTAAGCCAGGCTCAAGAACAAAGGACAGCAGGCCAGTGGTCAGGGGAGGAGAAGCCTTAAGACACAGGCAGGCCGGGTGCCGGCACTCACGCCTATCATCCCAGCTGCTCAGGAGGCTGAGACCTGAAGATTGCGGTTCAAAGCCAGCCCAGGCAGGAAAGTCTGTGAGACTCTTATCTCCAATAAACCACTAGAAAACCGGAAGTGGCGCTGTAGCTCAAGCAGTAAAGCACTCGCCTTGAGCTGAAGAGCGCATGGACAGCGCCAAGCCCAGAGTTCAAACCCCCACAACCGACCAAAAAGAAAAGACACAGGCAAGCAGTCCAGGCACCAGTGGAACCTATCTCAAGAATGCCTTTGAAACGAAAACAAAACCCAGAGAGGGCACCCTCCCTTGACCCCAGGGCAACAGAAGGAGGGGAAGGCCAGGCCAGGGGAAGCTGAGGTCACAGTCCTCACCAAGGCTACCTGCAGCCCAACGGGCAGCCACAGGGGCAGGCTGGGGTCACTCTCCCACACAGCTCCAGCCACACAGGGAAAAACCCAAGGGACATTCCCCCTGAGCCCCCGCCCAGTGCTCTGGCTAGAGTGGAGTCTACACCAGGGAGAGGCCTGGAGAGGCCAGCACGCAGCCCAGGGCTCCAGCACGCACCACCAGAGCCGCTGCCCAGGGGGAGGCGGGGGTGGCTAGGTCAGGGACCCCCTCCACCTCTACAGCTGGATGAGGGGGGAAGTCTCCGGTGGACCCTGCCCCCCGCTGGGCTTCCTGTGCCCAGCGCTACCACAGCCATTGTCTCAGCCCAGGAGACAACAGTTGTGCACCACTCAGGACTCAGCTAACAAAGTCATCAGAAGGGCCAGGGAGCAGCAGCAACACCACACCAGTTGTGAAGAGGGGGACCGGCTGCCACCCCAACATGGCCAGGCTCCCTGGGACAGGAGGGACATGGGCGAGTCTGAGGCCCCCCCCCCAAGCCCTCCCAGGAAGAGGAGAAAGCCTGCACTTATGTGAGCTGTGTGTCCCACCCTCCTGGAACCCGTAATCTGCCCTAAGAATCAAACCCACAGCTGTTCGTCTGGATGCTACGTGGCCACCACCACAGCAGCCCAACTGCAGGCTGCTTTTGAAAAGCAAACACACAAGCAAAAGGACAGCCGGTGACTAGGCGCACAGTGCGAGAATGCCATTTCTGTCACCGATGATAATGGGGACATTAAACAGCAAGGCTGGAGCACGTTCTGTGGAAACGGAGCTGCCAAGAGAGACGGTAAGTGGGAAATGACGATTTGGATCTCGCATGTGGGTGTAAACATAGCAGTGTGAGCAAATTTTATCTGTCACATTAGTTTACAATTGGCACAATACATACCCACCGACACTAGGGGGAGGGGCCCCCACTGTGCCAGCCCCCAGGCCGATGGTCTTTTCCTGTCGGCGCCCGATTTACGCCTCTCTTTTCAGCTGGATCCCATTCCCATGTGGGTAAGAATCGGTTGCACTTGTCACGCTTGCTGGAGAAGGTGCTGTCGTGGGGGGAGCCTGGCCTGCGTCACACCCTCCTTCCCTCCCCCTCCCCCCTCCAGCTCCTAGTGCAGGCCGGCCGGCTGGCCTGCCCATGCGCACACAGCCCGCCAAGGAGGCCCGACAGCAAGCACACTGTCAATGGCTGCGCAATCGCCTCCTAAGTGTTCTCAGAACACCTCGGTTCTGGCAGAATGCTCGGGACTGCGCTCCATCAGATGGCTGGGCGGCTGGCGCACCCCGCAGCCAGCTCTTCTCCTGGGACCTGGCAGCCCAGTGCGCTGTCAGCGAGTCCCAGCAACAGCTCCCCTCCCAGCTAACACAACACCCACCCTCCGCGGGGAGGGGACAGGCCACACGGGACAGGACAGCACTCAACAGCAGCCAATAACAGGATTAAAAAACCAAGGGCGCCCCGCCCCCTCCACCTCCCCCACCCCCCACCCCCGCCTGGCGGCGCAGTGATACTCACGACTGGCAGGCAAAGGACATGCCGAAGATGGGGATGCAGCGGAAGACGCCCTCCCAGCGGACGTAGCTCACCCGCTGCAGCCACTGCCCGCCGAAGAGGCCGTGCTTGAAGGAGGACAGCACAATCTGCACCCCAGAGAGGGAGGGCACACAGGGCACACATCAGGGGGCAGCCGGGCCTGGCCTCACTGCCACGCACAGCAGGAGAGAGGCAGGAGCTGGAGCGTGGCCCCTGCGGTCCCCTGGAGAGGTAAGGGACCACGCCTGTCCCCAGCTCCCCCCCCCCAGTCCATCCCACAGGCTGACTGGGCACCGCCAAGAGGGGCACCGAGCTACAGGGGGTTTCCTGGGGAGAGGCTGCTTAGCACAGACCAAAGTACTGTGTCTGAACCCAGTGTCTGTCCCAAGTCACAAGGAGTCCCCTCAACGCGGACAGGTCCTTCCTTCCAGGGCCCTGGCCCAGGCCAGGTACAGACATCTTCCAGCCCAGCATCACTGGGCTGGTCCTCAGGAGGCTGAGGACACTGAAGAACTGCAGTCCAAGATGCCCCGACAGACCCCGGGGCCTGCCATCATTCCCAAGGGCAGAGACCTGACAACTCAGAGGCAGAGCAGGGAGGACTGTGGAAGGCCTCCCTGTTTCAGGGTCAATTCACACTTCATCTTCCCACCTAACCTACCTTAAGGCCTCACGTAGAAAAAACAGTGCTCCACCACGCGACACAACACTGACCCTGCTCCTGTCCATACACCACGTGATTCCTGGAGGAATCCAACCCAGCCTTGGAGCCCTTCCCAGCTGCAGCATGTGTCTCCTGCTGTCTGCCTGCACCTGTCCCCTGGTACCCTGGTCGGCCAGGGGCCATGTGGGCTTCACAGCACATTCTAGTGAGTCTAACACACTTCCCCGGCTTGGAGCCACTTTCCTATCATCCTCAAAAGGTGAGTGGCAGTAAACAAGACCTGGACACAGACCTCCCGGGGCCCTAGGAAGGACTGAGCACGAGCAGCACCTTCTCTGGGGCGTGTGGTGCTCACCACAAACATGAAGACGGTGTAGAAGATGAGGGCCATGGCGCTGAAGGACTGGATGGAGGACACCATGTTCCTCTGCAGGCTAAGAGGGAGCACGATGCACAGGGACACGGCGAAGAGAAGGAACACACGGAACGTGCCCGTCACCTGCAAGGGAACCGGCAGGGTGCTCGTGGACTGCAGTCCTCAGCCGGCCCACCGGCCAGGGCCACCTTTCCAGTGCTGCTTGCTGCAGAGCAGGCCGGGAGCTCCCCCGAGTCCCCCGAGGCGGGGCACTGGGCAGCCAGGCCTAAGGACGGCAGCCCGTGCAGAAAGCTCCTCACAGCCACCATGCCTGTGGCTCACTGCTGAGCGAGAAGACCAGCGCGGGGCTGGGAAGGTGGCTCATGCCTCGCACGCATGAGGCCCTGGGTGCGACTCCTCAGCACCACACAAGCAGAAGAAGCTGGAAGTGGCGCTGTGGAGCAAGTGGTAGGGCTCTAGCCTTGAGCTGAAGAGCTGAGGGACAGCGCCCAGGCCGAGTTCAAGCCCCACAACCGACTAAAAAAAAAAAGATCAGTGTCCCCCTTCACATAAGGAAGGAATGCAGAGGGAGCGCGTGCTGCCACGGGCCCCCACCCCCCAGAGTGGGTAACAGGGGCAAGAGGAAAATCAAGGCACTTCTCCCTGCGACTGAACTGACTGCCCTTCAGGAATCTTAAAATTCTCATCCAGAAAAGTCATCACACAATCCCCCGCTGGCACTTGGTGTTGTGGAGCACGCAAAGGCCTGGTGATATCTAACACCTAACTTGGCTGCAGCCAGCACCTCCAACTTCCTGGTTCCTTATTCAGAGCCAGACATGGCTGGAGGGGATAAGAGCTGTGCCAAAGCCTTTGGGAAATACTCCTCTGTGCTCTCTCCCAGCTCTAACCATTTGTGCCAACCTCCTACTTCCCGGCACGGAGGCCTCACGCAGGGGAAAACCCTCCACGACACGTGACTGGGGGTGAGGAGAGACAAGCTGTGCGCGGCTGACCCGCCGGGTGCAAACCCTCGCCAGGCAGCGGCAGCCGGCACGGTGTCTCCCTCACGTCCAGGAGACCATGGGTGAGAAACTGGTGCGGGCAGGCTGGCGTCTGTGCACAGGCTGAACAAAAGCCCTGCAGAGCCCACGGTGAAGCACAGGAGACGGATGTGCATGGGAAGAAAACGTCTGCAACTCGGGCTAAGGCCGTGCTCACAGGACAACGCACTGGAATGTTCTCTGGCAATGTGCAAGTCTGGCACATTCGGTCATGAAGAGGACTAGCCCCTTTCTTCTCAGCTAGCCTTTATAAACAGAAACCCTTTTCTACCTGTGGTAAACAAATATGCAGAACCCTTCACAGAAGATGCTTCGATTCCCTGTGCCCACCCCGCCCCCCCCCTCCAGACAGCCCCTGGCTAAAGTTCTGCTCTCTGGAGGGGAGGGCACGAGGGGTGGATGGGGCTCAGTTCACAGGAGGGCCCCGGAGGGCAGGGAACAGAGCCCAGCACCCCCACATGGCAGCAAGAAGATGGAGCCCAGGGAGACTGCCCTGGCCAGCAGCTGTGCCCGCTGGCCACACAAGGGCCTGGCCACTCCTGCCCTCTCATGGGTAGCACTAGCCAGGTGAGAGCTCTGGGCTGCACCGTGGGGTAAGTTCTCCTCACTCCTCTTATCCCCTCAGACTGGCACTCTACCAGACCCTGCAGCCTTTCCTAGCACTGTCTGAGCCAGGCCCTCAACTCCAGAAAAGGACCAGAGTGGACAGCAAGAAACAGAGAAGCCCCTCCAGACCTTATGCACTGGACTCAGCCGCCTCCGCAGGGAAGCACAACACGCACTGAAACAAACGAGGACGTCAGATCGTGCCCTACCTGACATCCAAAGAGCCGCGCGAAGAAGCCGGACCCCAGGTCACCGATCACCACGTAGAAGGTGATGCAGGTCCCCAGCATTAGCCCAATCATGCTGTAACAGAAAAGCGGGAGTTCAAGACGGGCCAAGGAATGTGCTGCCTGCTCATCACTGAAGCTGTGCTCTTCTGCAGGATCCCCCAGAGCTGCTGGAGGCTGGTGAAGGGAAGATGCTGCTTCAAAGGCTCACTCACAGGACTCCTGTGCTCTGGCCACCCCCTCACTGGGGTAATACTGAACCACAGTGCACTTGCTCCGTGTGGTGGTGGGTTTTCCTCTCTACGGGAGGTTTGGAAAGGTCTTTCAGGTGCATCACAAATGCACAGTGATGGGGAATGGCGCTGTAGCTCAAGCAGTAGGGTGCTGGCCTTGAGCTGAAGAGCTGAGGGATAGCGCCCAGGCCCAGAGTTCAGGCCCCACAACCAACCAAAAAAAAAAAAAAAAAAAATACAAATGCACAGTGATGGGCTGGGAAGGTGGCTCAGTGGTAGAGCGCTTGCCTTGCATGCCTGAGGCCCTGGGTTCGATTCCTCAGCACCACATAAGCAGAAAAAAAAGCCGGAAGTGGTGCTGTGGTTCAAGTGGTAGAGCGCTAGCCTTGAGCTGAAGAGCTGAGGGACAGAGTTCAGGCCCCAGGACCGGACCCATAAAAAACAAAAAACAAATGCACAGTGATGTCAGACAAGTTAAAAGAATAATCAACCACTTCCAAAAAAAAAAAAAAGCTTTCTTTCAAGTTTACAATTCCTTAATTTAGAGCCTAAAAGTGCAGTTTCCCAGCCATTTCTTCATGCCATAAAATTTTACCCCAAAGGGGGAATATCTGTTGTTTTCAGTTTAATGCCACCCTCATGCAGCAGTGCTGAAGGGGACAGCCTAGCGCATAGCACTGAGAGAGGTATTTTTCTATGTTCCCCAAGTTTTTCCTTTTTATATAAATCTTAGTAAGACTGAAGAAGGTTTTCAGCCTTGGTAAGAACCATTTTGAGTCCGCACTGGTGGCTCCGCCTGTCATCCTAGTCACTCAGGAGGCTGCGATCTGAGGATGGCAGTTCAAAGCCAGTCCCGGCAGGAAAGTCCCTAAGACTCATATCCAATAAACTACCCAGAAAAAGCCAGAAGTGGTGCTGTGGCTTAAGTGGTAGAGTGCTAGCCTTAAGCAAAGGAGCTCGAGACAGAGCCCAGGCCTGAGTTCAAGCCCCAGAACCAGCAAAAAATGATACAGCAAATTGGACTTCCAACTGTTCAGTAAGTAACTCTTCAGAAACATCTTAGAAGTTATAAGCCAACCCGTGTGTGTGTCCCAACAGGCTCATTTCTCCACAGCTGCAGGAAGATTAGAACCAGCAAGGCCTGTGGCTTACCTGGTCTCCACCAGCATCTTCCCAGCTTTTCCGTAGGCATGGAAGGCTGGCATAAAGAAAAGAGAATGTGTGTTACATCAGAAAAAAAAAACTGCTAAGTAAAATGATGAAAGACAATTTGACAAAAGAAAAAAAGGTGTGTGGTATGCTCAGATGAGAGGTCCTTCTCCATTCTAGTCCCCAAGCTTTTTCCCTTGCAGTGCAAAGGGGGTGGGACCCAGGGCCCTGCACATGCTAGGCAAGAGCTTTATAACTGAGCTGCACCCACAGAACCCCAAGCTTTCTTCAGACCTATTGACCACAAATAAAACCTATGGAACAAGAACAAAGCAAGGGAGACACAAAGTTGGATTTTTCACCAAGTTCCTTCAAAGTGGCATTTTCTCACACGACCTTGGTAGCGACCTTGGTGCAGGGAAGCAGTGCCACCTGGGGGTGGGGTTGGGGCTGGGCATAGAGGCTGGCCAGCCAGGCCCTGCTCCCAAAACCCAACCTCCACAACCTGCTCCCCAGGCCGGCTGAGGAGGGCTTCACCGCCACCCTCTGGTTGTGATCTGTGGAAGAAAGCAGAGTCCTGACACTTTGAGGTGAGAAGCAGCAAGAACTCAGGCTTGCCAGCGCCCAAGGTGGCCAGCTGGAGAGTCCGGCCCCTGAGCGGCCTGCATCCTCCTAGGAAGGAAGACTGTCTTTCCTTTCCCACTCCTGGACTGTTTCTAGCAGATGAGAAGTGAAATGTTGATTTGGCAAGGTCTCTCCCAGGACCTTAACAGTGATCAGGTCACCTCCCCGCCAGCCAGCTGGCCGAGAGCTGGGGAGGAAGGCCTAGGCCGAGCAAGCAGGCAGGGTGCGCGTGACAGGATAGCTTCACAATTGTCAGTGGCCCGAGCTTCCTGCCCCACGTTTCCGCCCTCCTATGAAGGGAACACACACACCCCTTACTACTCAACTCAGGAAGAGGCACACTAGGGGGCGGGCACCAGCCTCCGCTCAGCCTGAAAGCAGAGAAGACTTCGCCCACCTCCAGGGGTCACTCTGGCCCTTCTTGGACTTGGCTCACAGTCAAGAGGCCTGGCACCCCCAGCTGCATCTAACAAGGCAGACACTCAACCCACATCCCTAACAGCATCCCAAATGTAAGCTGGAAATTTCCAGAGGATGGCTGCCCAAGTCCCCCTGAGCCCCAGCCAGCTCACTCAGGCACAACACAAGAATCCCAGACCCACACGAGGCGGTCCTAGGCACCAACTCGCATTCCTCCTTACGCTCCAAGAGAAACGTGAGAGCCCATAGCATACTCCCGACACTGCAGGACGCTGCCCCAGAAAGCTCCAGAGCATGCTTGCATCCCCAACACAGGAAAATGGAGGCTATCAGCAAGCCTCTCCTCTAGAAGTTCACCCTGACTGGCAGCGGTGGCATGCACAGGCCCTGCCCTGCGGCTCCCCTGCCCCTCTTCTCTCCCACTGGGCCACCTACACCCCTGAGCACTCAGCGAGAGGCGCCTGCTCTTCCTGCGTCCTAGGCCAGGCTTGTGCGTGCTCCATTCAGGACAGGACAAGGGGGAGAGTTGGCCCCGGTGCCAGCTGTCTGCTTACTCAACCTTGTCCTCCCTAGACCTTGAGAAACGGGCCAGCTTCTCCTCCCCAGGACCACAGACTGCCAGCGGAGCTGGGTCCCACGCCAACACCAAGGCAGAAAGAGGGGCTGGTGTTCAGGCTGGCGGGAGGCACCTCTGAGGCAAGGACGGCCAGCCAGAGACCTCAACCCGGCCCTGGGAAGCCTGAGGGACGATGGCACCAGGTTTGCGTGGCACAGAGCCAGCAGCACAGGACAGGCACATGACAAGTGTCTACGGATAAAGAACTGGGTGCCTAAATGCTCAGTTGTACACCTTATATACAGCCATGGAGCAGAGGAACTGATCACAGGGCCCAAGGACACAAGAACGAAGTCCAGGCTGCCTGGTCCAGGGGGCACATCCCAGCCTGGGGGGGGGGGGGGAGGCGGCAGGAAGCACACTCACTCACCAGGGGCGGGGCCCACATGACACAGTCTAGCATACTCAGAAAACACAGACACGTGGTCCCTGCTGTCCGGAAGTCCTCCAGAGTAGGGCAAGGCAGGACCCAGGGCTCAGAGGGTTTCACAGAGCTGACTCTGACTTGTCTGTGTATCTTCTAAACTGAAATGAGGTTTAGAGAAGGCCACATGGTGTGTGACAGGCTGGGCGAGGACGCAGGACAGGAGATGTTTATAAAACCCACAGCAATCCTGACAGGGAAAACAAACAAAGCAGACACATTCACAAACCCACCAACAAAACCCTACACTGGCGGTGCTCCTTCCCCAGGCCTGGCGGGGAGGGGCCCCGGCCTGCCACAGTGTCAGGCCGCGTCTCAGCAGTAGCAGACATCAGGAGAAAAATCAGTCCTCCCCAGGGCACGGAGCAACAGGCAGCTTGGAGACACACGTCCACCTCAGGAATCCTGCATCTTCTTCTGAGGTCTCCAGTCTAATGAGGCCATCTGCTCATGACCCAGCCAGAGATGCGTTAGCACATCTGCTGACAGAAGCCATCCATGGGCCCGGCTGTACCTCAAAGCAGTGGGGGGCCCACTTCCAGGCTCCCCTCCTGGGCTATAGCATACGTGTCGGGGGCAGGAAAGGCTGTCTTGGCGAGTGCCTATGTCTGCCACAAGAATAAGGCCCCGGGAGACACTCCTCTAGGCAGCCAACAGCCCACACAGCACCAAGCAGCTCTCCATCTGTTTTTTGGTGTGTTTTTTTTTTTTTGTCGGTGTGGGTCTTGGACTCTGGGCCTAGGCGCTGTCCCTGCACTCTTCAGCTCAAGGCGAGTGCTCTACCACTTGAGCCATGGCACCACTTTGGATTTTCTGGTTTATTGGAGATAAAGAATCTCACAGACTTCCCTACTAGGGCTGGCTCTGTACCATGATCCTCAGATCTCAGCCTCCTGAGTAGCTGGGATGACAGGTGTGAGCCACGGCGCCTGGCAGCTCTCCACCTCTGACTACAGCGCGAAGCAAGCACTGAGTGCAGGGGACCGGGGAGCTCCATGCAGAGGCACAGCCTGAGACCGCCAGAGTGAAGGGTCTTTCCTGCTCCAGCAGTCACCTGTTCCGTCCGACTAGAGCCCCAGGGGTGCCCACCCAGGGGTGTCCATCAGCCATTTCCTTTCAGACTTTCACATCCAGTCAAACTGGTTTGACGAGTCTCGGGGACTTTCGAAGAATCACTAGGCAGCCGATCATCAGAAGCATGGCCTCCCACATCTTCATACGGATACAATGCGCACTGGAGCTGCGGCCCCAGCAGCAAAACCCAGATGAAGACCTCAGTGGGAAGGGGCCGCCCCAGGCCAAGCTCTGCAGCACCTCATCTCCCGGGTTCTAGTGGGTACACTTCACCCCAAGCAGAAGAGGCTGTCTCCGTGTGGGTCACGTTTTGCTGGTAAGACTCATTTCCTCAGGTGACAACAATGGAAGACAGAGCACCACCGTTCTCCGGGGGGAAGAAGGCACCTCCGGATTCTGAGGCCAGAAACAAACGCAGGGTCTGGGTGCCGGTGCCTAGCGAATGGAGGGAACAGCAGCGGCGGAGGGGGCCAGGGTGCACCTGCAGACGGGCGGAGGGAGACTCGCGCCCGCGCCTTCCACAGCTCTGCTCCTCCACAGCACGTTCTCACACTGCTCTCTACTCACCGTTTCCTCTCCCACAACTCCACATCCCATGTTCTCTAGCCCCTGGCTCCGCCCCCAACGCTGAGAGTTGGGAGCCAGAGCCAGGCTGGCCCCTCCGGGGAGCCCCCAGCGCCGGCCACACACTCCACACGCGTGAAGAGGAAGGGATTCTCATCATACTTCCGCAAGACCACACCCCAAGAACAGAAAAGTGGCATTTCAATGCCACTCCAAACACCCCATAGTGAGGCTCAAACTTGACTGTAGGAGGCAGAAAAACAAACCTCACACACCAGCCTGAGAACAAAAAAGAAAGCAAAGCAAAGATTCCAAACTGAAATGAAGACAGATAGCCTTCACACGCTGTCCAGCTGAAGTCACAGTCAAAGAAAAAAGTAACAAGGTGAAGGGGATGAAATTGCAGCCCCAAGTTTCGGAGGGAAGAACACGCTCTTGGAAAGGTGAATACCGAGTCTTAAGCTAGGCCTAGGACAATTTCTTCCATGAACTTCCAGATGCACGGAGCTCTGCATGATTCCAGGAAAGGGGACACCTGCGGCCGGTGGGTCAGCCTACAGGAGGCTGTTGGACGCCATAGGGAATTACATGTATATCTGCTGAAAGGGGGCAAGAGACCATCAGAGAGAAGGAAGCGTGTGCCTTTGTTCCTTCTCTCTCACTTCAATTCTGAAGTAACGCTTTTCTGTTCAAATTGTAACTAAAGAAATTTGTCAGCCAGGCACTAGTGGCTCACGCTTACAATCCTAGCTACTCAGGAGGCTGAGATCTGAGGATTGCGGTTCTAAGCCAGCCTGGGCAGGAAAGTCCATGAGACTCTTATCGCCAATAAACCACCAGAAAACCGGAAGGGTTCTATGGCTCAAGTGGTAGAGCGTTCACCTTGAGCTGAAGAGCTCAGGGACAGCACCTAAGGCCAGAGTTCAACCCCCAGGACTGACCAAAAAAAAAGAAAGAAAGAAAATGTGTTGAGCCAGAGCCCATGGCTCATGCCTATAATCCTAGCTACTTAAGAGGCTGAGATCTAAGGATCATGATTCAAAGCCAGCCCGGGCAGGAAAGCCTGTGAGACTATTATCTCCAATTAACTACCAGAAAACTGGAAGTAGCATTGTGGCTCATGTGAGAGAGCTTGCCTTGAGCTGAAGAGCTCAGGGAGAGTGCCCAAGACCAGAGTACAAGCCCTGTCACTGACAGAAAAGAAATTTCTTGAAGAATAAAGTAGAAAAAGAACAACTAGAGAAATAAGGCCATAACACGCCCCCACCCCACCCCCTCAAAGTTATAGCTCCACATTTTTTTTCTTTCTTTTTTTTGCCAGTCCTAGGGCCTGAACTCAGGGCCTGGGCACTGTCCCTGAGCTTCTTTTTGGTTTGTTGGTTGGTTGTGGGGCCTGAACTCAGGGCCTGGGCACTGTCCCTCAGCTCTTCAGCTCAAAGCTAGCACTCTACTGCTTGAGCCACAGTACCACTTCCAGCTTTTTCTGCTTATGTGGTGCTGAGGAGTCGAACCCAGGGCCTAATGCATGCAAGGCAAGCACTCTACCACTGAGCCACCTTCCCAGCCCCTATCTCCACCTTTCTTAGGAAGGCACTGACCACCAGAGCCCGTGCTCACCCAGGCCGGCGTAGGTCCTCCGCTTGCTCAGGCTGGCCGACTTCACCAGGAACATGCAGGACTGGTGCGTCATCCAGGAGCAGAAGACCAGGAGCAGGACGCCCAGGACCATGCCACACTGGAGGTGGAGAGAAAGCAACACTTACAACCCCAGACACCACCACCCCACCCCACCCCACCCCTCCACTGCACACACGGTCTCCATCAGGCACCCGGACTGACACAGGCCCTCTGTGCCCCAAAGGGGTGTCACGTGTTCCTTGTCCATGACAGGGACCTCTGGTAGGCAACCCCGGGCTGAGATGGAGCCCTCCCCGGGACGGGGCCGGAACACTGCCTGCGGATCTGGAAGAGGGTAACCTCCTGTCCACGCCACCGCTAGTTTCTCCAGCTCTCTGCTCACACACACACCCAACACGCCCTGCCTAGATCACGCCCGCGTGTGGTAAAACACTGTCTCAAAGGAAAAGATTAGAAATGACACGTGTGCCCACCTGCCTCTCTCCCTCCTCTCTCCACTCCCCTCCTGTCTCTCTGAACTCAGGACTGCCCTTTCCCATTCAGCTTGCTTCTCATGGCTGGCTGAGCCATACCTCCAGTCTGGCATTTTACTGGTTAATTGGAGATGGAATCTCATAGACGTTTCTACTTAAGCTGGCTTCAAACCTCCAGATTTCAGCCTCCTGATAGCTAGGGTTACAGGCTTCAGCCAGCAGTGCCCAGCATGCGCACCTTCTTGTAAGTTAACTGGACATATACCATGCGTCCCTGCGATTGCACTCCTAGACATTTACGCGTGAGAAAGGAACACTTGGTAAGCATGTTTACAGCAAGGTCTAGCCACAATCCCCAAACTGGCAAGCAACTTCAGTGGCTTCAACAGGTGACTGGACAAATTGCAAAGGAATGTTACCAGTAGTAAAAAGAGAATGGCTGACGGGCCGGAGCTTGGGTGCGCCTCGGATGCACCTCAGAGGGCAAGACACTGCAGCAAGTGCCACCTACAGCACTCTGAGGAAAGGCAAATCCTGGGGCCTGGGGGTGAGGGAAGTGGTCAACAACATGACTTTTTAGGAGCTAGAACTTGACCATGAAGGCCACTCTACTGTACATACACATCAAAATCCAGGAACGTCATATAAACTATGCTTCACTGATTCTGAAGTTTAAAACATTAGTCTCATGGCACTGGTGGGGGAGGGGGGGTAATGACCAGGGGGCCCACATGAACTCCCTATACGCAATTGCAATTGATCACAAATCCCAAGCTGCTAGTACATAAGTAAGGCCCATTAATTTAAAAGAAACTTTGGCCAGGCACTGGTGGCTCACGACTGTCATCCTAGCTCTCAGGAGGCTAGGATCTGAGGATCACAGTTCAAAGCCAGCCTGGGCAGGAAAGCCCATGAGACTTTTTTTTTTCTTTTTGTTGGTTGTAGGGGCTGAACTCTGGGCCTACGCGCATTTCCTCAGCTCTTTAGCTCAAGGCTAGCGCTCTACCACTTGAGCCAGAGCACTAATTTCAGGCTTTTTTTTTTTGCTTATGTGGTGCTGAGGAATTGAACCCAGGTTAGGCAAGCGCTCTACCACTGAGCCAACTTCCCAGCTCCCGTGAGACTCTTATCTCCAATAAATCACCAGAAAACCGAAAGTGGCACTGTGGTTCAAGTGGAAGAGCGCTGGCCCTGAGTTGAAGAGCTGAATGACAGCACCCAGGCCCAGAGTTCAAGTCCCACGACCAACCAAAAAAAAAAAAAAAACAAACAAGCAAACAAAACTATAAAGGTGACTCAGTAGTAGAGTGCTTGCCTTCCATGCATGAGGCCCTTGGTTCGATTCCTCAGTACCACATAAGCAAAAAGAAAAAAGCTGGAAGTGGCACTGGGGCTCAAGGTAGAGCGCTAGCCTTGAGCTGAAGAGTTGAGCGACAGAGCCCAGCCCCAGAGTTCAGGCCCCAAAACCAGCCCCCCCCCCAAAAAAAAAAAAAAACTACGAAGGCTGAGTGCTGGTGGCTCACACCTGTAATCCTGGCTACTCAGGAGGCTGAGATCTAAGGATCAAAGTTCAAAGCCAGCCCTGGTAGGAAAGCCTATAAGACTCAGCTCCAATTATCAAATATCACCACAAAATCTGGAAGTGGCACTGTGATTCAAGTGGTAGAGTGCTAGCCTTGAGCGAAAGAGCTCAGGGACAGTGCCCAGCACTGAGTTCAAGCCCACAACCAAAAATAAATAATTTTTTTAAAAAATAAGATCAGCAAACTCTCATAAAAATACCTAAGAGATGGGATGAGATGCTCAGTGCTGTAGCAAACGTGGAACACAGGGGCCTCAGAGACCTGTGGGGGGAGCACAGGTGGGCACGTCGCTCGCATCTTCCAGAGCTGAGCACACCTAACCCTGGACCCCTGCACAGGGAGCGACCCAACAGAAATGCTGCCACCTGCCAACAGCTGCTGAGCTGTGCCACAGCTCTCATCCCAACCTCCAAACAGGAGACGCCACAGACGCCCCAACTGCACAACAGACACTGTGGTATATCTACAGGATGGAATGCTAGCCGGATGCTGAATTGCTATTACATGCGCCCCTCCTCCAGCACCAGAGGCCGGCATCGAGCACTGTGCCGGGCAGGAGTGACTGTCCCCAGTGCAGAACAAGTTGCAAACAATCATTCACTCTGTGAAAAATTCATCATGAGTACCTGAATGTTCATCTTCAACTAAAAAACAACATGAAACTTCTTTTAAAGTGAAAGAATTACTGATACCAATAAACAATATTAAGTCACAAGGACATGGCTGCCAAGCACTGAACATACACAGCCCCAAACAGCTTGTTGACCTCAGTCTGTTTCAACTCCAGGGGAGACAGTCCCGGTATGACGTGTTTTCTGTCCTGCCTGCAGGTGGGGCTTCCCTCTAGTCCTGAAGTTCTTCCCAGGCAGGTCTCTAATGCATCTTTATATGCTCTGCTCTAACGCCCACCACACAGCAGGTGTTCCAAAGCTGGGGCAGGAGCAATTGCCTGAGCCCCAAAATGTGTGGCACTTTGCAGACATAAATCAAGGACGGCAGTATAGATTTGCAGGTGTGGGACCAGCCCACACCTCACATCCCCGGACGCAGGTCTGCTGCTAGACTAGTTGCCACGGGCAGTCACACAGAGACATTCCATAATCACCTAGAGGTGGCTGGCATGAGGCTGGGATTCACAACACAGATGTCATCACAGGGACTCTAGTGACATCTAGCTGTCTTCTCGCCTACATTCACCAATCATTCATTTCAAAATTTCCCAGCTCCAGGGCTGAGGGCCCGGCTCAACATGGCTCAAGTGGTGAAATGCCTGCCTAGCAATCAGCCCCAAGTGAAAACTCCACCACCACAAACAACAAAGTCCCAGATCAAAACAACTTTTTAAAAATCCTCCCAAAGGGACTGGGAAGGTGGCTCAGTGGTAGAGTGCTTGCCTAGCATACAGGAGGCTCTGGGTTCCATTCCTCAGTTCCACATACACAGAAAAGGCTGGAGTGGCATTATGGCTCAAGTAATAGAATGCTAGCCTTGAGCAAAAGAAGCTCCTGGACAAGCCCAGGCCCTGATCAAGCCCCAGGATAGGCCAAAAAAAAAAAAAATCCTTCCCAAAATGCTAAATATGAAAAATGCAAAGCAGATGTCAAGTTCAACTCTAAACTACTGGGCTGGGAAGGTGGCTCAGTGGTAGAGTGCTTGCCTTGCATGCATGAGGCCCTGGGTTCAATTCCTCAGCACCACATAAGCAGAAAAA